TGCATATAAAAAGAGATTATTCAGAAAAAAAAATCAGGGAGGCAATGATTAAACATTGAAAATGCAGACTGCTTTGGAAAAGCTGGGTTATAAGGTCAAGATGCCTCCTGGAGAAAAGGTTGGCCCATTTAGTATCATCCAGCCACCCATTCGTGCATCAGGTTCACCTTGATGGAGCATCTGTTATGTGCCAGGACTGTGCTGAAAGCTCTCTGTGAGACTCTCCCAGCCACCCAGTGCCAGAGGTGTGGTTACGATCCCCACTTTAGAAATGCATCAGCTGTGGCTAGAGTGTTTAAGTGGCTGGATCGAGGTAGCACATTTAGGAAGTGGCCTCCAACTTCCCCTTAAGCCCTGATTTTATGCCAAGCTCTGGAGACTCGGAGATGAATAAGGCAGGGCCCCACCCTTGAGAAGCTCGCAGTCTAATCAGCCATGTATACAAATAAAAGGGTAATGTGCTAATTAGACCGGATAGACCTGATGACTTCCGGACGTCCTTCCAGACGTAGTTCCGGACAAAGGCACCGTGGCGGGGGTCGAGGCAGAGGCGGTTAGGGGTAACCAGGCAGGCAGGCAGAGTGGTTAGGGGCGATCATGCAGGCAGGCAGGCAGAGGCAGTTAGGGGTGATCAGGCAGGCAGGCAGAGGGGTTAGGGGTGATCAAGCAGGCAGGCAGGGTTAGGGGTGATCAGGCAGGCAGGCAGAGGGGTTAGGGGTGATCAGGCCGGCAGGCAGAGTGGTTAAGGGCTATCAGGCAGGCAGGCAGGTGAGCGGTTAGGAGCCAGCAGTCCTGGATTGCGAGAGGGATGTCCCGGATTAGAGAGGGTATAGGCCAGGCTGAGGGACCACCCCCGCCCCCCACACACACCCCTTGTGCACAAATTTTGTGCACCGGGCCTCTAGTCTATAATAATAAAAGGGTCATATGGTAATTAGACCAGACGTCCTTCCGGACGTCATTCCGGACGTCCTTCCTAACAAAGCCGGGGCCAGAGGGAAGCCAGCCCAGGTCCCAGGTGCCTGCCAGTGGCTGGAGGAGGGAAGCAGCCTGGGTCCTGGGTGCTGGAGGGAAGCCAGTGCTGGCAGCTGGGGGAAGGAAGGCCTACTCTTGCACGAATTTTTGTGCATCGGGCCTCTAGTGAATTTATAAATTAGGAGCAAGAAATCATCCCTTCTAGTGATTTTACATTCTTTTTTAAGCCAAGGACACTTTCTCCTTAAAATCACAAGTGTGAGGCACCATCATACAAAACAGATAAAAAGGTAACCTGCTTCTGGCTAAAACTGAAGAGGGATTTCCCTGCTCTCCTGTGGCTGCCAGTGGATACCCTGGAGCAGGAACTGCCAGCCCAACTTGAAACCAACTGTCTCATTTACAGATGGGACCACAGAGGTCCAGAGAGGAAAGGGAATTGTCAAGATCACCAGGACTGGAATTCTGGCCTGTGGACTCCTGGTTTGGGGCTCTTTGCTCTGCATTAGTGCCCCTAGGATGCCAGTGTGTGGGTGCTCACCCCAATGATTGGGGCACAGCTCCTGGGCTGCCCAGCACTGGCCACACCCTGGTGAATTTGGGGCTTTCAGGCCAATTCTTCCAGGTGCCAGAGAAAACAGAGTCTAAGAGCCCCTTGGAGGAAAGGTGAGAATTTTCCAAAGAACCATTTCTATTAGACCCCCAAGCACCAAGGGTGCGAGCAGAAAGGGCCATGGCCTGGGAGTCACCAGACCTCAGTTGGATGCCCAGCTCTCTGACCAGGACTAGGATCTAGTCTGTGTTCCTTCCTCAGTTTCCCCATCTCTAAAATGAGGTGGTTGGATTACAATGAACTGTCCAGAATGGGCAAATGGGGAGTCTAGAACATTCTGGGCCATGCCACTTCTGGGTCTGTGACAGCCTAGGCTCCAATCAGTCAACAGTGGCTGTAACACCACCCCTGTCCCTCCTGAGACTTGCTGACCCTGTTCGTGCCCCCCTCCCGTCTTCTCCCTTTCCCAGTCCCTCCCCTCCTCATCCCCTCTTCTCTCAGTTTCCTTTCTTGCTTTTATGAATGAATAGCAAAAGGGATCATAGAGGCCATTTGTTCAAGCTCCTCGTTGTACAGGTGGAGACACAGGCCAGAGAAGGAAGTGACTTCCCCAAGGTCACCTGTGAGAGGGAGGCCCGCTCTCGGCGGCAGGGATCACTTCTCCCGCCCAGGACTGAGCTCTTGTGGCTGGTAACTTCTGACAAATAGGACTTTTGCCTAATACACTTAGAATCATTTTTCCCAATTGTGGGATAGAAGAGTTCTTCAAGGAGATTTAGGGCCATGCAGCCAGAGAGCTTCAGAACCCCACTGACCTCCCCAGGAGTCGGAGGTGGGGAGCCCCTTGCCAGTTCTCTTTCCATCCTTTTGATCACAATGTCGGAGTCCTGGTTTGTTGCTAATATATCTCTAACACCCTTCTAGCCCTCGCTAATCTCCCTTTTCAATAGAGAGTGGGCTCCAGCTCAGCACCTTCCTTAAGCAGTATTATCTTGCGGGAATATATATATTTTTAAATTGTGGTTAAATATACATTGTTAGAATTTAATAACACTTTTATTTTCATTGTATTTATTTTATGGTTGCCTTCTATTTATAGTAATGCGATTCTGGTTTTCCATTTATGGTAATGATATAGCATTTCTTTGTAAAAACAAGCACATTGAAGTAAAACAATAACAAAGCAAGAGGTGATTTAAAGAAAGCTATTAAGCAAACAGTTCTAGCTGCTGTGCAGATATGGCCAGAATCTCCATGGTGGCAGGGGAATGGCTGGGGTCTGGGGGACTTGGACTTGGAACTGGAGCTAAATCTTCCCAGCTGGATGTCCGAGTGGTCCAGTGGGCCTGCTGGGTCCTCATCTCCTGCATTCTCTCCCCCCACCTTCCTCCTGCCTGCTTTTGACCAATCCCCCAGACCCTCAGAAACTCACTTCCTCCCTCCTTCCCTCCCTCCCTCCCTCCGACTTTATCTGGGCTCCACCTCCCAGGTCCCAGCACCCTCACTGTAGGCTCACACTTTTTTCCTCTTTAAATTTATGTGTGCCTTGAGTCCAGAGAGGCCCACACAGATAGCCTCTTCCAACAGCATTCCATAAACGCAGGGCCTGTGGGGTTTCTCAGCTCAAAGGGTCAGCCTCTCTCTCAACCCTGTTTTGGCAGCTGAAAGCATGAGTGTGGAGCCTGAGGCCCTTTAGTGTTTTCCCTGTCCTTGTGTTACAGGACTTGAACTATTAGAGATTCCCGCCCCGCTTGGGGAAGCGTAGCTCCTTCTAGGTCCCTTTAAAAATTGCGGATCCCATGTGTTCCCCGCCCCCCCCCCCACCTTTTTTCTCCCAGCCACATCTCTACTCTATTAGCCCCTCCTCAGTTTACCCAGTGACTCAGTGAAATGGCTGAAAGGACCAGACATCCTTGAAGTCCTTAGAGCAGTGGTTTTCAACCTTCTGGCCCTTTAAATACAGTTCCTCAAGTTGTGACCCAACCATAAAATTATTTTCGTTGCTACTTCATAACTGTAATGTTGCTACTGTTATGAATCGTAATGTAAATATCTGATATGCAGGATGGTCTTAGGCGACCCCTGTGAAAGGGTTGTTTGACCGCCAAAGGGGTCGCGACCCACAGGTTGAGAACCGCTGCCTTATGAGGGATGTATCCTTTCCCTGGAATGTGGGCAAGCAAAGGCAGCAACTTCCTGCCCCTTGAAACTCTGCCCTGTGGCCTGATAGCACCAACATTCATATCCAAGACTGGAGTAGGTTCGACTCCTATCAGTCACTCACTCCTTAGTGAGAATCAGTTGACCACGGGGCCTCCTACAGAGCTTGTGTGCTTGAATGTGCAGGGCCAGCAAATATGGGTATGGGTGCTTCAGGGAGGGGATTAGAAAAAAACAAAAAGCTGCCCAGGGAAGAGGAGTAGAGGAGTGGACAACCTGAGCCCTTCTCCTCTGGGGTTTAGCAAACACTTTCACTTGAGCTGTCAGCTTTGATCTGCTTGCTTACCCATTTCGTCTGGGGCAAGTGGGTGGGTAGCCGCTTTACAGAGGAGGTTCAGAGGTTCCATGTCTCCGTGAAGTCATGTGTCAGGGGCTGAGGAGGGGGCGTGAGGCTGTGGCAGCAGTACAGAGATGAAAAGACAAGTCCTGAGATTGGAGACACAGATCTGGCCTCTTACAATCAAGTCTTTGCATCTGGTCTAGGGTCAGCCCCTCTCTGCTGCAACCCCTCCAGGGGCCTCTATTATCTGCCACAGCCTAATAGCAGCCCAGGAGGGGGACCCCCTGGCTTTCAGCAGGTACTCCCAGGGCATCAGAAGCCTAGGAGCAGGTCCGGATGGAGGGGTCACTCCCCCCAACCCTGCAGTTGGATCACGGTGGGGCAACGTCAAGTTCTCTGGAATAAATACTGCAGATCTAGCGTGCCACTCTGCCCACTTCCACAACGGAAGTGGGTCCATAAGCAGAGAGGGGAGGCGCACAGGGGGCGAAGGAAGAGGAGAAGGGCAGAAGTTGGCCCCAGGGCCCCCAGAGCAAGGCCTGGATGCTGGACTGAAGGCGGAGACCAAGGGAGGGAGGTGGCGAGGGGCAGCCGGCGGGAGGAGACGTGTGCTCCTGGCGGCCGCGGAGGCAGCAGTGGCGGCGGCGACTGGAGACTGAAAGGGAGGAGGTTTGGGGAGGGGAGGGAGCGCGGGAGAGAGGGAGGGACGGA